AGAAAGCAAATGTTTTGAGAATGATGATGGCAACAAATGTACAAATGTGCTTGACACAATGGATGGATAGATGGATTGTGATGAGTTGTACGAGCCCCAATAAAAATTTTTTAAAAAGATGATGACAACATATGTGCAGATGTTTGATCAAAAGGATGTATGTATGGATTGTGATAAGAGCTGTGAGAGCCCCCAATAAAATGATTTAAATAAAAGTCAGCCTTGGAATCCCTAGGGGGCAGTTCTACTCTGTCCTCCAGGCTCTCTGCGCAGTTGGAACCACTCAACGACAGCGTGGAAAAGGGGCCACACAACTGTTCCTGGATGATCCGTAGCTGCTCCACCCTGGCGGAGGCTGCCGGGGTCAGGCCGGATGGAGGGGTGAAGTCCCACTTGCACACCCCTCCTGAGCTGGTCCCATAGCAAGCAGAGGGAACTCCCTGCAGCCTCACCTCGCCAGGACCCAGGTGGCGAAAGAGAGCTGTCGGCTGGGGCTCCAGTGGGGAGAACGCCTTTCCTGATGGACATGAGGCAGCCGTTGGGGACTGTGCTTGGCCAGTCCTTTCATCTCCCTGGCCCTCTCCCCTGACCCCGGCTCTCCTACCCTGCTGGGCTCAGGAGACAACTCCAGGAAGTCTCAGCCACAGAAGGTCAGCCTCAAGTGGTCTCGAAGCAGAGGTCACTACCCTGAACACCCCTTAAGTGCTGGAGTTCAAGTGGCCAAGCAACTGCCCTAAGGACGTGAGGGGCTACTGGAGTGGGGGCAGGGGGAGGGGGCGAAGGACAGCCTGTTTCAGGAAGTCTAGAGCGGCAGCCTGTCACCTCCATGCTGGCAAAGGATACAGCTGGCGCCGACCACCAACCTGCCACAGAAAGAGAGAGAGCAGAGTGAGTTGATACGTGGGGCCACCACAGTGCATGTACTGGGGCCTGGGCCTGACTCAGTGGACACCGGACTCTTGGCCCTGTAGGCCAGATGAGGGGCCATTCGTTCAACAGGGGCACTAAGAATCACTGCCCGCAGGAGATGCGAAGCCCACAGGGGGTTCAGTCAGGAGAGCAGAGGTGTGCCTTGACTGGTCACTGGGAGGGGACGCTTTATAGCAGGTGTGAGATGGGATGTTCACCATCAGGGGGCAGAATGTGCCACAAAAGCAAAGCTGGGAGACCTATAGGTGGGCAGGCGGCCCAGGGCCATGAAAGCAGAGCCCTCAGGACTCACCGGTCCAAAGGCCATGGCCGAGGCCATGCTGCTCTGGGGCAGCGGCATGGGATGCTGGGAGTTTTAGAGATATAAACATTTATTTTTATTTATTTATTTTGAGGTTTAAACATTTAAAGACTCTGCCTGATTCTCAACACCACACTCTCTGTGTACACACACACACACACACACACACACACACACACACACACACACACACGAGTGAAACCTCCAGCCCAGGGGCAGCGTGCGGGTGGGCTCGTCAGATCACTCCCTCTGCCTTTGAACAAGAGGAGGTGATGTAAGGATGGATAAACCCAATGTCAGCAGTAATCCCAGCAGGTACTAATGATATAATTCCATTTCAAAAAGTGGCATATCCTTTGGAATACTTCTGCAGGGGCCCTCGGGGAACAAGTGGTTCGGGGCTTTCCTCTCGGGAGCTGGGGACAAAGTCGGGCTGGGCACTGCTGACTGGGTGAGCAGATGGCGTTCAGCCCAACCTCTGCTGGCTCTCAACATTCCCCACCGACCAAGCGGCACCCTGCCCCGCAGACGGGAGCGGCAGGGACTGGGTTCTGCCGATCAAGGTGCTTGATGGAGCTTCGCTCTTTAGGAGCAAGCAAGCGCATACACGTCAGTGTGTGCAGCATGGACACATGATGGCCTCCGAGGGCTCGGGGAAAATTCTTTTAATTTTCCCACAAACATTCTGAAACCCCGGTATGTTTCTCTTGAGAGGCAACCCTGGACAGTGAGAAAGGTTAAGCGCTCAACTATCAGCCAAAAGGTTGGCAGTTCAAACTCACCCAGAGGCACCTGGGAAGAGAGGCCTGACAGTCTGCTCCCAGGAAGCCTGGGAGTCATCGTACTGTGCACCACCGGGTTGCCATGATGGACAGTGACTGGCCGGCGAATGCACTCAGCTCAACTTCCTGCCATCGAGTCGATGCTGACTCACAGCCACCCTATAGGACAGGGCAGAACTGCCCTGTGTTAGTGTTTCCGAGACTCTGACCCAAGGACGGTTAGTGGTTTCGAACCGCGAACCTCACGGATCACAGCCCAATGCTTAACCCACACCACCAGAGCCCCTGGCAACATACTAGAGGTCTTCAAAAAAACTCCCACACAAATTCCCTTCATGCCACTTCTCCACGAACGCATCCCTTTCTCCATGAATGCATCCCTTTTTCCACGAATGCATCGGGACGCACCTGGCTTTGGACTCATTTTGTGTGTGTGTTTGGTGCAAGGCATCAATCCTTGCTTTTGGGGGACATGAAATTCTGAGTGACTCTGAATGAGCCAAGCAGAACTGAGCAGTCTGACCATCTGGCCCCAAATGCAAACTGGAAGTTCATGCAAAGCAAGGCTATTGAGCTCATGAGGCGGCGCTGGGCCCGTGTCCACGAGAGGCGCAGCTGAGTGCAAATGTGCAGGGTGGGGGACCATCTGCCTCAGAGGCCGGCTGGGCTAGCCCTCTTCGTCCTGTAAGCCTCTGGCCTCTGTAATGAAGAGGCCAGCCTGAAGGCCCCACCGCATTGCCACAACTTGGACCGGCAAGCTGGGCCAGGCCAAGCTGCTTCTTCATGGCCTGCCTCCTGCCAGTTCCGACAAGCGGCCAGTTCATCTCCTCACTTAGGAAAAACTGTCTTCCATCTTGGCGGATACCATGTGCTCCTTGCAAGTGCTGGGCAAACAAGCAGGCCCCGGTTGCCAGCTCCTTCCTCAAGCCACAAGCAGGCTTGGAGGGTGTGAGCACTTCTGTGGGCTTGGGGCACCGGGCTCTCACCTGGGGAGTCATCAAGCCTCATACCGCTGGCCTCCTCCCAGCTGTCAACTCAGAACTGGTGCCGGAGGCCAGGGTCAAAGGGGCAGGGGCCAGCTGCAGAGGGCATGGCTGTGACTATGGCAGACAGTGGCTTCAGTGGGCAATGAACTCCCCGGCCTTAAGCAGCCCGCGTTCTGGGACCCCTTCCATCTTCCTCAGTGAGGGCTCTCACTCCACGCTCATCCACCAATTTATCCATTCATGTGTTTCGTCTTCCAAGAATCCAAGAAATGAGGGTGAGGAGTGAGGCATCCTGGAAGACGGTGCGCCATTGTATGCTTCTTGTAGAGACATGGCCAGGCTCCCTATGATAGACGGCTTTGAGTCGGGACTGACTGGCAGTGAGATGGGTTGGGTTGGGTTTGGGTTTTGAATCTGCAGCTGGGCTGCCTTGGCCTGGACGGAAGCCCAGGTACAAACTGGCCTGAGAGGGACCCTGGGGACCACTGCAGGGGCTCTAAGACCCAGCTTGGATGGGGGAATGGGGTGACAGGCAGTGGTGCAGGCAGCAGGGACCAGCTTCTCATCCCCCGGGGAGAAGAGGTTGCCCTGCTGCAGCCTGGTCCGAGCTTCTGAGGCTAGATGCACTAGACCTCCATAAAAAGAAGGAAGGGCCGTCAAGGTACAAAGACTGGCCTCTCGATATAGCAAGACAGAGTGAAGAAAATCAACACCACATGCAAACAACTAGTCCGAGGGGCCATGCAAACCTCAATGTCCATTGCTCTGGGCCCTGAAGAACTAGATGGTGCCCCGCTCCAACTGCCTGCTGCTCTAAAAGGAATCACAATAGGAGGGGCTGGATAAGGTGGGAGGAAAATGTGGAACAAAACTAAAAATCGTTTAAAAAAAAAAAAGAGGCCAGGTTTATTGGTCTGGCAAGGAGAGAGTGACCTGAGACGGGGACTGAACTCACTCCCATGGATTAAACACAAACAAGCAGCGAGCAGGTGCCAGCAGCCTCCTCCAGGCAGGGCAGGGTCGGCCTGCTCCCTAAGGTTTCAGAAGCTGTCAATCTTTAACAGGAGCAAACGGCCTCATTTACCTCACTCGGGCGGTGTGGGTGAGGGTTTCAATGGCTGACCTCCTGGCTAACAGTCAGCACTTGGTCCAGTGGAGCACAGGGTTCCTTTTTTTGGCTTACAATTAGAGTTTTTAAAAAAAAATCTTCCACGACAACTCTGAGAAGCCTGAACCCACTACCTCGGAACTGATTCTTGCTCAGAGCAACCCAGCATAGGGTTTCTGAGGCTGTTGGTCTTCGTGGGAGCCGAAAACCTCATCTTTCTCCCATGGAGTGGCTGGCAGGTTCCAACTGCCGACCTGTAGGCTAGCAGCTCTCAGCGCTTAGCTCATGGCCCCACAGCTCTAACAGGCAGCATGAAATCAACTCAGTGGACACAAATACCCTCCTGCTTTTTCCCACGGAAAATGGTCAGAGAGCCCTGGGGCTTCAACAGAAAGTGCTGGGCTGCTGGTGCTCGCCACAGGGAGTGGGGGGGGGGGGGGGGGAGTCTAGGGCTGGCTGGCTTTACCACCCACCCCAGGGGCCAGCAGGTTGGTGGGCAGTCCCTGGGGTTGTGGAAGGAGAGGGGTGTAGCCAGGAGCAGGGTGGTTAGGCCTGGTTGGTGTTCTGGAAGACTGGTGCATGGGGAGTTGTGTAGAGAGGTAAGAGTGCTGGCGCCCACTGCTGGCAGCTCTGAGCGGAGCTTTGAAGACAGCTAGCCACAGAGCGACCAAGCTCCCTCAGCAGAGGTACCAGAACCCCGAAACCTGGCAGCAAGCAGGCAGCCCAGGAGGGTGAGGTCTAAGGAAGTCAGAGGCCCCCGTGGCCTGGCAGGGCTGCCTAGGAGGCAGTCCTACGGTGAGCAGAGAGACCATGAACAGTGGGCTCACCGCCTACCCCGCACCCTCGCCCCCACCCCCAGCTTTGGCCATGCCGGGTCCTGACCCCTACCTGGAACCTCAGGCAGACAGGCTAGGCCCTTCCTCCTTTCCCAACCTCCACTGCCCCGAACCCTGCCCCTAGCCTGGGCCAGACAAGGGCCTCACACCCCCTTGAGCCTTAGTCCTTCTAGGCCCTCACCCCTCACCGCCCCCCCCTCCCCCCGCCAGGCTGAGCTATGCCCACCCTCATCACACCCCCAGCATACCAGGTCCTCACGCCTCGCCCCGCTAGGGTCCCTTTCCTCCCTAGATCAGCAGCTTTTGTGCAGGGTGTCCGGCTCACTGCAGCACCCACCACCATCCTTCGCCCCCGTCACTTCCGCCCACCCTCCCGGCCTTGCCTCTCCAGCCTGGCTTGCAGTTCCCCAGAGAAACTCGGGAGACCAGGACAACGGGAAGGAAAGCCGCCCAGACGCAGCGCTAGCATTCAGGTGGCAGAGACCCTTCAGGTGCCAGGGGTCCCGGCCCTCACTTCCCCTGCTGCCAGCCTTGCAGAGTCAGTCCCTACGTCCGTCACAGGCTTCGCTGCACGTTGTGAGGAGGTGGGGGGTTTCCCACTTACAGTTACCCCCTCTCCTCAGACTCTTTCAGCAGGACCCGGCCAGCTGTGGGCACCCGGCAGTCTCCTGAAGAGCATTACATTAGTCAGTCTGTCGCCATCTGCTCCATCTACCCGTCTCTGCCAGGGAGCAGCTGCTGGGTTCAAAACACCTACCTTTTGTTGAGGAGCCAAGTGCTTAACCCACTGCACCACAACTCTGCCAGGCAGTAAGTAATCAACTAAGTTTTCACTGCAGCTCCCTGGCTTTGAGCCCTGGCTAGCTCGGAGCTCCTGAGCCCATGCACAGAGTGACAGGTGTGGGTCCTCAGGTGCTCACAAGGGTGGCTGGGTGGGGGGTGGGAGGGTGGAGGAAGGGTAGGCTAAGGTGAGTGGGGCAGCCTCTAGGGGCAAAAGAGCCCCAGGTTCTCACTGGTGGGTTCCACTGGCCAGAACCCAAAGTTCTTGATCACTGAGGACCACATAGATACAGTGTCCATTATGAGCCAGGGGATCGCTCAGCCACCCTGTGTCCTGTGTGCAGCGGCAGAACCCACAGAAAACTCTACCCAAGCCCACTCTGCAGGCACCCTTGGCTCCGGGCCACAGACTAGTTGGCGCAGCACCCCCAGCAGCTGGGAGGATGCAGGCACCCATGTCTACAGAGGCACAGGCCTGGTGCTCCCATGAACAAGCGGCCACCCTGTGATGGCTTTTCGGAGCCAGCCGGCCAGGCCTCTGGGACAGAATCAGCCTTGACTGTCCCCACACAACTCAGGGGCCAGAAGAGCAGCCCCAAGGCCCATATTCATTTGAGCTCCATTTTAAAGGCGAGTTAAAATAAACACCAGGGATATTTATAAGGCAAATAAATCTGGCAGACGCAGCCCCCTCCAAGTGTGAGCAGCAGCCTCCCCTCAGCCCCAGCCCAAGCTGATAAAACACAGAAATGCTACTGTAGACCCTCCAGGCTTATTTTGACTACAGCAGAGGAATGTAGCATGTAAACACGGACTCCCATATTACACTGTTACAACTTGCATTAACAGCAGCAGACAAAAGCGGTATTTTCACAGAAGCATCGTACAGGGGAGATAGCTCCAGCTTAATTTTTTTTTAAACCATTTCCTCACATAAATCATGCTCAGAGCCAAGTGGATGACTGTTACATTGCAAATGTTTCTTTCTTTCTGTCTCCTTCAACAATAACATACTTAAGATTCCTTCTCAGTGTAAGTGCTTGAAACAATAAAAATCTAAATGTGTGTTTTTGGGGTGTGTGTGTGTGTGTGTGTGTGTGTGTGTGTGTGTTTTCTGAAGAAAATAAACACTGCTGATTCTTTGCAGACCACACTACCTGGGGCGGTGGCATCCCCAGGTGGCATGGACTCACAGAAGAGCTGGGTGTCCCTCTGTCCCAGCCCACTGTCAGCAAGTCATGGAAGAAGTCTGGGGAAGTCCAGAACCTTCTAGGGGTGGGTGATGATGGCTTGAGGATGTGGCAGGAAAATAAGGCAAGAAGCATAATAATTTGGACAGGAATGAGGTGGGTAAGAAATGGGGTGGGGGTGGGGCGGCAGCAAACAGAGGACACTGTGCTGGGCACCAGCAGAGTTGAGGGCAGGCAGCACATGCAGACTCCGGGCATCCACAGCAAAAGACTGACACCCCCCCCACTGTGTCCATGTCCAAGCAGGGGAGATCAGCGGGTGTGAAAATAGACATGCTTTTCTGCGTGCTGCCTTGTAAGAAGCCCCCATGCCAGAGGCGTGGAGGGAGGGGGCAGGCAGGGATGGGGGGGGGCACTGGATGGAGGGCAGTCAGAATACCCTCTCCCCAGCTTCTCAACGATGCAGACGCATGACGCGGTGAAAAAGAGAGCCCTCGGAGATGCTTGCCAGCAGTGGCAGGACCCCACCACATTCCATGCAGAGCCTGAAGGGTCCCGTGAGGAAGATGAGCAGAGTCTGGCCACACATGTGAGCGCACTGCTGACGCAGAGTGGAACTGCCCGATGGGGCTGCCTGGCGGCCAGTCTTTTCAGGAGCAGTACGCGCATCCTTCTCCCGCGGGAGCGAATTCTTGCTTAGCAGCCCCATACTTCATCCACTGCACTACCGGCCTCCACATCCATGACTGCAAAATTGACACCAACTCACTGCTGACTCAATGACCCTCCGGGGCAGGGTAGAATGGTCCCTGGGGATTGCTGAGACTTTAACTCTTCACAGGAGTAGAACGTCTCATTCTCCAGAGGAGTGATTTCGAACTGCTGACCTTGCGTCACTGTACTACCTGGGCTGCTCCACATCCCACATGCGCTCACAAACATCTGGAGACACTCTCACACTCATGCACACTGAACACACACACACACACACACACTCACATGTTCTTACACACACACTCACGTGTTCACAAACACACACTCACATGTTCACACACACACACACACACACCTATATAGATACCCTTTCACACTTCAGCTCCCACACCCAGGACACACACATGCTCCCCACCACACGACACAGAAACACATGCACACAGGGCTGTGCGCGTGCACACATACACGTGCAGACAGGCACACAAGCCGGGGAAGCTGGGCACCATGATGACCAAGCCTCAGCTGCCCTCTGGTGGCCATCCTGGTCCCTGCAAGCATGGTGTCCTCTGTGGGCTGAGGTGATGGATGCACTCAGCACTTGCTGGAGGGGCATCAGGCCGACTGCAGTTCTCAGGGTTCTTTGCTCCATTTTAGGGAAGCCCACCTTTGATGGTGGCCAGGGGAGGGCTAGGGGGCTTTGCCAGGTGACCTGGCCCTACTTTGCCCTTCAACACCCTCCCCAGTGCCCATGCTGGCGTCTCATCCCTGGGGCTGCCAGGACCCTGTTGGAAAGTCAGTGCCCTAGACATACAACTCACACTGTTACATACAACAGACACTGGGCACCGGCAGAGGGCAAGAGGAACGGGCTTTCTTTTCATTTTTATAAATGAAGGGGGACCAGTACCCCAGTGAGGACCAAAGCTGAGTCCCTCTAGGGACCGACAAGTACATGCGTGCCTGTGGCAGGGCCTTACGTCTTTCCGGGGGACTCCTTCAGCCAGAATATGTCGTCGCTTGTAATTCCATACTCCAGGGCACCATCAACCTGTCAAGAAAAGGGACCAGTGTGAGGAGACTTGTCAGGCCTGCTGCAGGGGTTTCCTCAGCTCCACCACAAACAAGCACCCCAGGAGTGTGCGGCATCTGTGGGGACAGAGGTAGGCCTCTCTGATTCTGGCTCAAACCACCATCTGCCCCGTCTCCGAAAGGAACATGTGGTCGCCAGGCAGGCAGGGAGGGGCTTTCTCCTCTGGAACCTTCTCTTTCATTCAGACACCAGGCACAGAGGCTGAGGTGGGTACAGGTGCTTCAGGGGCCACTCAGAAAGAGTACTTGTGAAGGGAAGAGATAGAAGGGGTGGGAAGTGAGGGAGCAGCCCCCGAGGGTTCCAGAAGGGCCAGAATCAGAGGAAGGTGGTCAGGTGGGGTCGTTTCTGGGGATATCTGGGTCAAAGGTGATGGAGGTGGCGCCACATGATCAGAAGAACCCTGTCCTCAGGGTGAGTGAAAGTGGGGGGAGTGCAACCGTGGGGAGCCTCTCAGGATGAGGGCTGGGAATAAGAGCGCCTGAGGAGCAAGGGGGGGTCAGCTCCCAAGGGCCACGCTGAAGGCTAGACCTACCAGGCCCTCTTGAAGCACCAACCCAGGTGAGTTCTGGGCCCCTGGAATTGCTACGGATCATCCTGTTCCCAAGTGACCTGAAGTGGGGCAGCTGCACGTTTAGGGCCCCTCTTCCTGGGTTGTGAGAGCACCACGTATTCACTAAGAGGAAACAGGTTTTAAACAGTTTACAATTCTAATTGACAGGAAAAATAATGTCCAGAATTTCTGAGGTCTGCGAAAGGCAAATGAAAAGCCTGTAAAATCATCCGAGGCAGAGTCCAGCAAGTCTCAGCGAGCAGCCCAGGGAGGAGGTGATGAGGCAAGGCAGGGAGAAGATGGGACTCAGAGGCTCCCACTTCACCCCTCCTTGGCGTGAGCCAAAGACACACACTGCCACTTAGTAGGGCTGCAGCAAGAGAGCTGCATCCATCACCGGGTCTGTTGTCACTACCTTGAAAACTCCGGGCGAGGTTAACTGAAAGAGGTCCGCAGATAGACACATCACTGACTAACCAAGCCCCAAAAGAATACTGGAAACGGTCACGAAGAAATGGCCACTGTGTCACAAGATTAATGACAGACTTCACACCAGAAACTATGGAGGCCAGAGGTAAGTGGGATGGCATGATAAAAGTGATGAAAGTTGTGGGGCAGGGAGAACCAAGAATTCAAAACTATCTTTCAAAAATGGAAGGCATATACAACCACTGTGGAAAACGATATGGCGCTACCTCAAGCAACTCGGAATAGAAATCCCCTATGAGCAGACAATCCCTTTTCTGGGTCTATGCCCTAAAGAAGTCAGAGACAAAGCATGACCAGACAGATACACGTCCATGTTCACAATAACAAGAAATTGGAAACAGTATACACACACAATGGAATCCTACGCATCACTAAAAAACAATGATGAAACCATGAAGCTCCTCATGACATGGATGGACCAGGAGACTATTATGCTGAGTGAAGTTAGCCAATTACAAAAGGAAAAATATTTTATGAGATCACTGTGCTAAGGAGAGACTTGCATACCAAATGGAACAGATGATGGGAGTTCCCAAAGGGGTGCGGGGGAGTGCATGGGAGGGAAGATGAAGCAACTAGAGGAGTGACAGGTGTTGACTTGGGTGAAAGGGAGGATGAAGGACCAAGAGAGGGAGAAGAGAAATTAGAGGAAGGGACAGGGTAGAATACAAGAACGTTGATGAGTGGTTTGAATTGTTCAATGCAGAGTTAATAGTTGTGTCAGTCTGGGTACTACAGAGAAACAAATCCACAGAAACCCCTATGTATAAGAGAGAGTTTTATATAAAGAGTAAGTTCCCATCAAGAAAACATCCCAACCCAGTGCTGCCAAAGCCCACAAGTCCAACATTAGCCCATATGTCCCACACCAATCCATAAAGTCCTCTTCAATCTCACAAAACAGACGCAATGATACCGCCTGCAGGAGGAAAGCCGAGTCAGTGAATGTGTAAGCATCTCAGCACTGGCAGGGGTCTCCACACGGCTGCTCCAGCACCCAGGGTTGCATCGGGGTAGGTCCATGTGGTTTCTCCTCAGGGATGTCTTGCAGGAAGTCAGCCTTGCCAGCTGAGGCAGGGAACTGGCTAAGTCAGCTGCACCCTGGTCCGACCATCAGGAAGCAAGAGACCCGAGAACTCGAAAGGCGAAAGGCGAGGCTCACCGAGCCATTTATTCCTCTGCCCTTCAGTTAACCCCACATGCGTTTATCGGCCAGGTTGGCACAATAAAATAACTACCTCAATGCACCCCTTGCCAACCTGGCACCTGTACATAATTCTTTAGCTTCACGATTGAAATTAAGTAACACCTACACCTTAATCCTATAACTCTGTGAATATGTTCCCCCACCTATGAAAGTTGGTAAGCCAACCACTTCATGCCTTTATCCCAATTTTGAGTATCCAATCTATATACTGCCCACTTACATCAATCCAGTTCTCTGAGGAGACAATCATATTTTTCGACATGAAGAGTCTTCATTCCAGTTGGAACCTTGTGAAGTCGGTATCCATAAGCTAAGTCAAATCCGGACAGGCCATCCATGAAGTCAGCAACAAATGCACCAGTTCACAGGCTCAAAAATCTCCAGCTGGTCGGGTTCTGGTCAACTCAATGTGGGCTGCCTCACCCAGCCTCCACAGGGTGCCCATTGGTCACCTTGCCTTTACACCATGGGCTCTCACCAACTCAACAAGTCTAGCCCCCTCATGCTGGGTCATGAATCTTAGACCAGTCAACCCACTCTCGTCTTCTCCTTTTTCCCCTGTAAACCAAGTCCACAGGTGTCAGTGGCCAAACTCAACCCGTCTCTTATTGCTCTCTCTCCCACTTCCACTCAACAAGTAGATCCAGGTGGTCACCTAGCAAGCATTTCAGCCTGCCAATAGGTTCCCTTTAGCATTCAGTCCTAGAGAGGAGTTTTCTTCATGGGTCCAGATTTTTTCCAGCTTCTGACAAAGACCACTGGCTTCTGAGTACTCCAAAGCACTGGGTGGGGCATATCTTTTCAAAGCTTTCTTTGCAGGCATGGCCGAAACCCATCTAAAGACCAAATTTTAATGGCTCAAAGCAAATTTTCATATTTCCCATATTTTCCCCAGAAACCCAGTAAACAGTGTGGCTTTATCTGACCTCTGGCTGGACAAAGAAGAAAAACTACCCTGAGGGAGAGGTCAAACCAACATCTACTCTCCATCTTATGACTTGTTTCTCCAGTACCCCACTCCCAAGGTACCATAATGTGTTAGTCTGGGTACTTTAGAGAAACAAATCCACAGAAACTCATATGTAGAAGAGAGAGTTTTATATAAAGAGTAAGTGCCCATCAAGAAAACATCCCAACCTAGTGCTGCCCAAGCAGCTCACAAGTCCAACATTAACCCATATATCCAACACCAATCCACAAAGTCCTCTTCAATCTCACAAAAGACGCAATGATGCCAACTTCAGGAGGAAAGCCGAGTCAGTGAACGTGTAAGCATCTCAGCACTGGCAGGGGTCTCCACACGGGTGCTCCAGCACCCAGGGCTACATCGGGGTAGGTCCATGTGGCTTGCAGGAAATGAGCCTTGCCAGCTGAAGCAGGAACTGGCTAAGGCAGCTGCACCGTGGTCCGACTTTCAGAAAGCAAGAGACCTGAGAACTTGAAAGGCGAAGCCCACTGAGCCATTTATCCCTCTGCCCTTCAATTAACCCCACATGTGTTTATCAGCCAGGTTGGCACAATAAAATAACTACCTCAATAGTCTAAATTTACAGTTTAGACTATAAAATGTAAATCCCCACTCGATCCACAATAAAACAAAAAATATAAAAATGAAGAAGATCTAAATGAGATTTAAATAGAGTCAGCTAAGGGACGAGTAGGAGAAAGATGAGGCTTTCTACTCCCATAAAGAATTTCAGGCTTGGAAACTCACAGAGGCAGTTCTACCCCCTCCTACAGAGTCATTATGAGTTGGAATCAACTTGATGGCATTGAATTGTTTTTTGGGGGGGTTGGTAAGGGACGGACACAAGGGACTGCTGAGTGGGCCCAGGTAAGTAGGCTACCAAGAGCCACACTATCAGCACTGAGATCACATTAGCTGAGTAGAGAAGAACCAGGCTATAAACAACTCCCACACACAACTGAAAGACCCACAGGACAGCGGTTCTCCACCTTCCCCATGCTGCCGCCCTGTCACACAGTACCTCATATGGTGGTGACCCCCAACCGTAACATTATTTTCGTTGCTACGAAAGGATCATTCTACCCCCAAAGGATTTGCGACCCACAGGTTGAGAACCGCGGCACTAGAGAACTGTCGATGCACAAACCCTCTTTAACGTGTTCTAGAGCCTAGCTGTCACTTTGAGAACTAAGGTCCACTTGACCCAAGCTACCTCATTTTTGACAGCCTCACCCTACACATGTGAAAACTGGACAATGGTTACGGAAGACCACAGAAGATTTGATGCGTTTGGAGGGTGGCATTGGCACGGAGACTGACGGCACCACGGACTGCCCGAAGGACAAACAAATCTGTCTGGGAAGGCCAAGCCGAATGCCTCTTGGGAGCAAGGCTGGTGAGGTTTTCTCTTACATACTTTGGACATGTCATCAGGAGAGACCAGTTCCTGTGAAAGGACCTCTTGCTCACTGGAGTGGAGGGGCAGGGAAACGAGAAGGCCCTCCAATGAGCCAGGCTGCCAGGTGGCTGCAACAAAGGGCTGGAGCAGGAATGGTCGTGAGGACGGCAGAGGAGCAGGACTGCTTGACAGTAGCCTAGGAAAGCCCATTGCATGCGGGTCTTTCTTGTTCTTCGCGCACCCCGCCCCCCCTCCACCTACTCTCCCTCTTCCCTCCCTACCACGGCCATGTCTTAACCTTCAAGGTTTCTCCCTTTGACGTAAAACCATGTTGCTGTTTTTCTTT